AGTGATGTTTAGAACGTAAATTTAGAAATCTAGGAAACGACTTAGGAAAACCAAAACTCCCGAAACCGCCCTAAACCAGACTACGAGCTGCAGCACCTTCATAATTCAATAAATGTTTTTTTTATATTGGAGTAACTTCTTAAGTCCACACAAACGAAAGCTTCATCCAAAGATATTTTTTTTGTTTTAAATATATGAATAAGTGTTAATTACGTATAAAACACCAACCCACAGATTTCGTATTGATCAAAACCGAGTTATCTTTATTAAGTATAAATAATTTTCTAAAATCATCTATAAACCTATTGGAAACCCTCACATGCTTTATAGAATAATGTTTATCAATATGAATAACGTATTAAAAAAGGGAAAAAATAAACCAAACTCACAAAAATGAAATAGAAATAATAATTTTGTTCTTAGAATTTATATTTTTTAAAAAATACATAGATATAATTCCAGTACAGATATTATAATTTCATTGACACTTTTCACTTCGTATTTAATTCGTTTAATTTAGGTGTTTAAATATTTAATAATATCCGATACAGCAAATTTGGAAGGCGGAACAAACCAATCAAAGCAGGAAGTTGCAAAAACAGAAAAGCCTCGATTTAATTTGGAAACAAGTTGCCATGACGACAAGACCTTAATTAAAGAAAAGAAATTCATCTCTTAAAAAATGCAGCAATACGTTATAATGAGGCTTTATAGAAAGATGATATACAAATTTGAAGCAGCGACCGGAAAGTGGAAAATCTTGAAAAGAAGATTCAGTCTTAGCAACATGTATTTTCGTACTCACGAAGGGGAAATGAATCTGTGGGGGGATGTTTTATGGGTAATGATCTTTGCAAAACACAAACACACACAGAACAAAAAGAAAACTATATGTTTGTTTACTAAATACAACATAACTGCCTTGGTACTGACGTCACTAACCGTGCTGACTACACAATCACAAGCAATCCACAGTGCTCGAGAAGACATTTGTAGTTTTTATTTCCTCGCGGAGAAATTGCCAACCGTAATTAGATCACTAATTACGATACCAAAATGACGTGGGGAGCATATTTATCACCTACTGATGAAATGTACAGTTTGTTAAAGCTCTGCATTTCTACGGGGCCCCTGGAGTCTAACGGCATTCAGCACCCTTTTTGCCTCAAGAAACTTTTCGCGATGTCCGCTTTATTTCGTTCATTTAATTGACAGAAATAACGCAGCTTCATAGAAATTGCAAAAGAAATCAAATCGCATACTCCGAACAATAAGTTCTCCACATAGAAAATTGAACTCAACCTTTGTCAATTAAAACAAATTATTAAACTTATTTTAAACTGACAACTATACCGTTTTCATCACTATTCTCGTCTTCTCCGCTTCATTGCTGACACTAGACTCAATCAAATACGACATGTTTTCTCGTCCTTGTTAATTAAAGCAGTTTTCAATTAGCGCGTTTCTAAAACGGATTTGTAAATTTGTGTTGATGGTTCTGTCTACCAGCTGCCTATGTTGTACAGAATTTAGAATTTAGTTTTCGTTGATGGTGGATTCGAATGAAATTTTTAAAAATTTTTACAGCCTATTCAGTGCATATGACATTTAATATACCGTTGGTGAAGAATTTTTTAATTTTTAAATCATGCAACACCTTCATTTTCATTACAAGTATTTTTAAAAATACAGTATTGCTAACCATGTTTGCAAAAATGGATAATTAGGATGTCTATATTAATATGGTTTACTTTCACTGAATCGGCTGTAATGTGAGTTTTCTGACTTTGAAGATCAAGATAACGTTGATCTGGCATAATGATAAGTGATATATAAAGTAACGCCACAAACGAACAGATTAACAGCTGCTTGTGCTGTCAAAGACTGGTTCCTGTTTGTAGAATATCAAAATTACGAATTGAGTTTTATAATTTTGTTCCCTTGGATATGTCTGATATGCAAATTTATAATAAGGGGAGATAAGCTAATGCTAGAATTTAGAAGAGTAAGTCTTCCAAAAACTGCGGTGGCTTGTAGCAAATCCAGTGCTGTCAGGAGCATATGTGGAAAGAGTTCAAATTAAAAGAACTCCTTTGAATAAATAGACGTATTATGTTAAATGCATGTGTTTGTATGACGAGCGTGAAAGTCCCCACCAAATCACATGACAGGTTACAATCTTGGGACGTCTTCGCATGCATGATTTCCCCATCTTACTGGAGCTATTAGCAATGACACATTATATTAAATATGTGTTGCTTTCGAATGACTAATTATTGACTTAAGGCAACAGGATTTTGGTAATAAGTACTTACGCTGTAGATAACTTCCTTTTAATCCTTTCGGGTTGGATATGGTAAACGTAATATGATTAAGCTATAGGTTTTTCGTACACCTATATATTCTAGATATCTCATAAATGATAAAGGAGGTGCAATTGTAACCATCATTTTTTCAATCCAATGCACACAACATAGGTTTCGAAATCGTATTTTTATTACATTTGTATTAATTCAATAATTGACATTTGATACACGATACATATCATTTGAAGTCGTTTTATTGAAATGTTTTCATCATCCGATTACAGTCAAGACTTCACGTCGATGGTTTTCAGGATCAAATGAATTTCTAATTTCTGTATTACTCTAATATTAAAGTTGCTATCGCTTTTGTCTCCGAGAAAGGTCATTAAATTAACAATACATTTGAAGAAATTGCAACAAGACTAGAATCAATTGTCTGGAATCAGGGGAAAATAACCAATAAAAATAACATTGATTCGTCGCAAAAAGTTCGTATCATATTAATTCTGTTTTGGTGTTTTATTAGTCTACCATTGCAAGGAACAACACATCTACCATGCATTATTAAAAAGTTTCATTTTGGCAGCTGAAATTGACAGGATTTATATGTTACAGTTGGTTATTGCCATCTAACATCTCCTAAATCCGCACTTTTTGTTTTCTTTTAGATCTGGCAACACTAATTTCAGGAATTCAAAAAGTTCACCTCAGTGTCACTGTCACTAATTTTTCACTTGTTTGACTCTTTGTATTTTTCCTATACGACAGACTACATACACTAAATCATTTCATTATAGAGGAAGTGTAACCAACTGCTCAAAACGACAGCCATTTTAGATACATCGCTTCACAAAGAAATCAGAGTCACTTCCGGTTAATTTAACAAATATGTCTACATTTCAACCGGAAGTAATTTTGATGAATGATTACATTAAGCAGTCGACAGCAATTCAAATAAACTTTATCGTCTCATATAAAACGAAATGGTAAATTAAGCTGATAGTAGGAAGCATTCTGAGAAAAGTTTCACGCAAAGTACGAAATAGAATGTTAATATACTTTCCATCATATATGTATATAACCTAAAGATTTTTTTGTCGACGGAATTCGTTGTTGAGCAGCAGAAACAAAAAACAAATAAACAAAATAAAAGAATTTTACTATCTGTGATGATGCTGAAAGCTTTAGGACTATAAACATGATCATCGATATTAAGCCTTTGCTGACCCAGACGACTAGATATATATGGTGTTTTTCCCAGTAGTGTTGTGATGTTTTGAAAATCAAGAGAGGCCATTGATATTGGAATTCACTTATGCAGAATTAATAATCTTATTGACCTTTAAAGATGATCTTCACAATAATAGATCAGTTTATATCGAGGTCAAAGTAACGCTTTTCTACTTTTTACAAATTTTAAATGTCAATCGAACATAACAGATTCTTTCTTTCTTTCTTGTGTGTTTGTTTCGTTTTGTTTTAATTAGTTGGGGACACGTTGATCGTGGGCGTGTATATTAAGGTTAGAGACAAAGATGATGTTCAGGGAATCCTAACTTATTACAATTTGACTTTCCTGTTATGAAGCATGTATAAATCTATAGAAGCGGCATCTACATCAGTGAACTGTGATGATTTAGGGCGACTTGGCGACAAGTAATTATTTTGTAGCCATAACAGATTTGGTTGAACCACGCCAGATTCTAAACATCGCCGATAAATTATTTGTTGTATTAAAGACTTACGAAATCAGATACAAAATTACAGGCATATAAATCTGTAACACTGTGAAGGCGGTAGATGATTTTGTTTATTGTCAAGAAAGATATCAATTTGGTTAGAATTGTCCATTAATTTTATACAGAGAGTTTGTGCTGTATTATAGTTAGCCTTTAAAGACATTGCTTGATGCTTGTATTCGTAATACATGTATCTTGATAATGTCCTATAAGGAATGATATTAAGCGTAACTTCTTTTCCATGTCCAGAAATATGTGATATTAAGCGTACTTTCTTAATGAGGTCCTGAAATGTTTGTTTTTAAACTTTATATCTTAATCATACCTTAAAAGCCTAACTATTAAGACTACCGTTATTGTCAAGCCTTGCAAAATTCTTCGTTGGGCGTAATTTCCTGATCATGACTACAAGATGTACTGTTAAACGTAGTTTCTTGAAAGGCCCTGCACTGTTGCTAAGCAGTGTAATTTCGTTATCAGGACTACGAGATTTGCTTCTAAAAATGGTTTCCTGATCGGGCCCTGCATTGCGTACTATTATGTGCTATTAAACATAGTTATTTTTTTCAGATCCTACAATGCGTGCTATTAAGCGACATTTCTTTATCAGGCCCTATATATAAAGCATTTTACCACACTTCTAGAACTCCCAAATATCCAATTTTTTTTTTTTTTGCAAACTGTTTTATGATTGTGTTGTTGACTTTATATTCAGACCGACTTCTCTGAATAATCTGATGACTTCGATGAAACTTCTTCTATTCCATTTCAGAAAGAACGAACAGAATGATCTAAAAACTTTACAAAACTTTTTATCGCAATGTGAAAGTTATATACATCACCAATAATTGTTTGGTTTCTATTTTCTATTTCCAGATACTTGTGACAGAAGACTATAAGATACGACTTTGTAGAAATCCGACCAGATTGGAGCAGTAACTTTCAACCTACAAAGATGGCGTCGACCATCTTGGCTGAGAACCAGTCACGTTTATTGGCTAACCTGACTCACAACAAGACCGATCCTCCACAGGTAGCGCTCATAATCATTTGTTAACATTTTGATATAGTGCAATAAAGTTCTTACCTCTGTCAGTGATATCTGACATTTGCGCTTATGTTCTTATCAAATCAATCAAATATCGATGATAATGTCAAGAATATTACCTAATTTTTTGATGTCTTATTCTCCTTGTATGTTTCAATGTCCCAATTTTTTTTATCAAATTTTGCACTTATTTGTTTTTTGTTTTTGTTTTACTTTGAATTTTTTGGTCTGTATTTTATGTTATTCTTGTGATCTTTTTGTTGTGTTTTTGTGTATATTATATTGAACAATGGATGTATTTGTTTCTTTTCTAACAGGTTATGCATCAACCATGGCTGACCGGCCTATTTATCATAATGTATGCCTTGATCTTTCCTTTGGGTATCAGCGGAAATACTTTGGTAGTGTACTGCGTCGTGCGAAACAAAACAATGCAAACGATTACTAATATATTCATCACAAATCTGGCAGTGTCCGACATTCTCATGTGCCTCCTGGCTGTTCCATTTACCCCTCTCAGCTACTTTCTCAATTCATGGATGTTTGGCGAGGCACTATGTCACATCGTCCCGATGTCGCTTGGTATAAGCGTGTACGTATCAACGCTTACGTCAACAGCCATCGCTGTAGATCGCTATTTCGTCATCGTGTACCCATTCAAGCCTCGAATGAAAGTATGTGTCTGTTTGCTAATGATAGTTGCCATTTGGATTATTTCTATTTCTATATCACTTCCACTTGGAATATACATGGAGCTAAAGGAGAGTTCCGATGGTTGCACGTGCGAGGAAAGCTGGCCACGCCCCCAGGCGTCCCAGTTTTTCACTGTCACTAGCCTTGTCCTTCAGTATATCGTGCCTTGCAGTATCATTACCTATTGTTACGCCAAGGTGTCGTTGGCTCTTAAGAAAAGGTCAAGGTCAAAGATCGGCAGTGGATCAAAATACCGCGAGAGGGATGAGACGGAAATAAAACGGAAGCGGAGAACAAATAAGATGTTGATTGCTATGGTGACCATCTTTGTATGTTGCTGGCTACCTTTGAACACTGTGTTGCTAACGGTAGAGTACAAAAGTCATATTACTCTCTGGTATTACTATACTTTAATATTTTTCTCCGCGCACGTGATAGCCATGAGTTCTACTATTTATAACCCATTTCTCTACGCATGGATGAACGATAACTTCAAAAAAGAATTTAAACAAGTCCTCCCATTTTTGTTCCGAAGGGAACGGGAACGACCTGTGAATGGCAACTACACCCAATACACAAATGTTGACACTCAACCCTCGGTGGTTATCAACAGGTCGCCTCAAAAGGAACGAGAGAACCCGAACGACTGTAGCCCTTCAAATAAGCCCAAGGCTTTCTACGATCCAGAATCGGAAAAGGTTGAATTGAAAGTGAACACGGATGTAGACAGTGAAGGAACGCATAGCGCGTAAATAGTCCGTATTTCAAATAACAACTGCTTTGATGACTATAACTATCACGTGATTGCATACAAACTAATCAATCACGTGTCAGTCACGTGGTATCATCGATGACATTTTTATGTCACTTTAATATCTTACGCACGTTATAAGTACCTAAGTAATATATTTCATCCTATTTAAAGACTGAAGAGTTTCTCGTTTCTGTTTTATATATGTCTCGCAAAAGACAGAAACAGTATAATGCTTGATTCCGGATATGTAGGTCTCATTAAGGCAGTAGTGATTTTTTCAACACGGAGATATCATTTACAATATTTTTTTCCATATCCTCTTTTTAATTAATATTTCAAACCTTTTGGTCGAGGTTTTAACATGTGACATTAATTCTTCGTCGTTTATGACACAATATTTTTGGGTTGTAAAGGTCCTTTGTCTGACAGAAAAAAGGATAGAAAAAAAAAATAAAACAATTTCAAGCAGTGGAAAATGTTAGACATCTATCAGGGACAAATTCACGACTTTAGTCATACTATGGTGTTAATCTGGACTCCGTGACTCTAATGTCTGTATTTATTTAGCCTGGTCTGTCATGAAAACAAAATCGCATGTTTCTAGTGTAAGGAATAGAGGACATTTCATTCTTCCATACCTTATATCATGAGTTTGACAGATTGTATTTATTTTTTACGATTGTGTAGTACTTGTAGCTGTTATCTGGGGAGAATTGCTGACAAAATAGTTTTTGATATACACTGTACCAAATTAGAGACAACCAGAAATATACACAGGAACTACATTTTAATGGTAAATTCACTTATTCAAACTCCGTTTCATTTGCGCCCGAACAGGATTATCAGCGAATATTTTTACTGAAGTGACTAGAAACCTTGGTTCTGATTGGTCAAAACTACGAATGTGAAATCACCATGCAGTAATAATATCAATTTTCATTTGATTAATATATATAATGGTTATGATGTTTTGAAATAAGAATGTTTACAACGCGAAGGCAGTTCTTGAAATGAAACGGAAAAAACTAAAATCATGTTGTAATTACTGCGACAGTATATTCCTTATCAAAAATAGAACATCAAAAGAAATTGTATCTGAATTTAGATGGTCGAAATAAACCATTGTTTCATTAGCTAGACACGTATGTTTGGTCACAAAATGAGTGATGATCGGTCATGACAAATCTTATTCGTTCCTCTCTCAGTACCATTAACGGCGGATCTTCCGCATCAAATTGCCTCATTACCGCTGTCAAGTCATATATTTGTACCCAATAAGAGCACACTGTACGTGGCAAATTAGACACAAACCTACGTGCTCTTATATTGTTCCATTTTCACTGAAGTCAAAAAAGAGTTCACGGGATTTCGGATTCTCGCGCGTGCTAATTACTATGTCCCTATTAGGTATTCTCGTTAGATTTTTTTTATCTTAACGATGGCTAATAACAGGGTTGTCTGTTCCTTCGTTGTATAGCAACAGGCTCTTTCCAATAAATTGTAATTTGTTTGATTTGTTTGAGATCTAGCTATGTGTAATTAGTTCGTTATACCAATGAAACGCTTTCCGCGGATTCAGATGATTGAATTGTTCGGTGGAAACATTACATTAGCTCATGTGCCTGAAGAAACTCGTGATATTTTGAATAGCGCCGTACACAAGAGCGATTTTTTGCTGATTTTAGAAACCATGATGGTTAACATTGTCTATTTAAATGCGTATTAATTCATTGCTTTGTGACGTCATATATTATTTGGGTTCGGTATTTCAAGACTGTTTTTAATAGAAAGAGTATATCTAATGGAGTATGTATTCTGTTTGAATTAATAATCATTTCATTCCGTAAAACTTTGAATATTTCTGTACATTTAACCATAGAATCGGTATCTGGACGCACCTGCATTCTTTATGACGTAAAACAGGTGTCTAAAATAATAATAATAATTAAAAAAAAAACAAAGAAGAAAACATTTGTTCTGAAAATGAAACCACACAAAAAAATGGGATTAATGCAGAATTTAAAAACTATTTCAGGCAGAAACAAAATTGAGACATATCCATATTAACACAGCCAATATTGCAATATCGTTGATATTGATCTGGAACTACTTTGGCACAGCCATACACATTACTGTGTCGTTGTCTGCTGGTAAAAGGAAATCTAGATTGTGTATCTATGTCGTCATAAATCACATCTGGTCTTTCTATTGAAGTGACGCCAACCTCCTACTACGTTACAGACCCAGGCTGTCAAGACGATCCGAATGTGCCAGCTCGTGTTGAGAATCAAAACGTGCACCGCAGATGCAGTATTGAACATAGACCGGTTGCTGCTCTGAAGTTAGTTAAAGTTAACCAGTGGTTTGTGAAAATTTCAAACTGCTGCCACTGAACAATTAAGAGATATAAATCCAAAAATAGCACTCACAATATATCATACATGTCTCAACACACCTACAGTTGTGAATTGGTAAAGAACGCTCCAAAGTTTGTTTAATTCTTGTTTGAAGATTCTCACTAATCACTGGTTATCTTTGAACAGCCTTTGAACAACCAGTGTTTGAATGTTGATACGAAGTTCATCTGTAAAGTTCCGCGATCACTTTACATAAAATTACAATTCCACGTTATAATATACATTAAGTACTGAATTTTAGGTCAATTTTGCCTACAGGGATTTTCTCCGTGTCATATTCAGCAGTTATAAGAATTTTTTAAGTATGAAATATCAAAGGCAACAAATAACTTCCCTTCTCTAGCTCTAAAATACTCCATTACTCATGTCAGTAGCCCGACAAAGCGTATTCAGAACGATTCTGCTTGATTTTGACCTGTTGTGTTTCTTGGGCATTCTGATTTTTCCCTTGTATATTTTGCCTCATAAAAGTAACATGTATATTCCGAATTATTTTGATATTAATGCCTTACCTATCATAATATTTTCTCAGATTTCATTTAATCATCCAAAAAATAAAAGTGTTTTGATTCATATTCACAATAATCTTTAATGTTTCTTCCGGAATATGCAGATTCTGGACAACCGTTTTGACTATTAGAATGACGATTTTTCAATTTGGATGCAAGTTTTGGTGTTATAAGGAATTAACACAATGTACTATCTCTCAAGGTTAATTTGTTACTGATTTTGGATCATAAACAAACATTATATCTTTAATGTTGACAGTCCGTATAATGTTTAAAATTAAAATGTAAAAACAAACATAAAGATTGATCACAATCGTAGTCAAAAATACTTCACTGGAATCTGTATTTCTGTGTTTACTAACATGGAAGCTCGCCTAGGTGTCAGCACCATTGCTGATTTGTCTTCGCCTAGTTCCTCGCCACATATCCATATCACTTCCGGTTGTGTTGTATGCTGGGTGATACTGTTTGATGGGATTGTTTTTAAGGGGAGAGGGTAATTATTTTCATGTCGATTTTGCGGGTGATTATTTTTGGTGATGTAATCGTGTAAGCATCAAATCACAAATGGAACATGCTTCCATGTGTTATATTTATATACATTTTCTGCGTGAGCGATTGATTTCGCAATTTACATTCATTGTAAAATACCGCGGAATTGAATTAAGCGAAATATGGCGGCAATTTACGGGAAGTAACGATATGTGGCGAGGTTCAATAGCCTTGTATGTTGAGAGTCTTATTTTATGTTGATAAATATGTGGATGAAGTATTGAATATGTGTAGATTTGTTATATCTATAAATATATATATATAATATCCATATATAAGTATCCTGATTATATATATGTATGATATTCTTTGTGTATGATTGTTATGAAAAGATAAACATGTTCATCATTGAAATCATTTTGCTGTTGATAACAAGTATATGTCACTTATCATTGTGATGCTGATTATTATTTTTTTGAACCGGAAGTAAAGATTTGCCTATCAAGTCATCTGGACCATTCTTATATTGCAAACTCTCGAACTGAATATATTGCATACCAATTCAAATTGGTTGGATATGCATATAAATGATGGCAATGTTTCCGGTTCTTGAGTTAAAAAATCATTCGGAACGGCGATGATCTTTCGTACATTTCTTAGAAGCACTTTGGGTTTACAGGAATCCTTTTTCCCGCCATCATCTTCTGTCCATGCCTGGATATTTATTTGTATTTTCCTGATGTCGTAGTTATCAACAATTATATAAAGACAAGTCTGTAAATAATGAATATGGTGTTGTTGTCTTTTCTGTTTAATTTTGTTTACATTGATAACACGAGTACCATGTTAATGGTGTGATAATATTCACTGCAAAAACTGTGTTGTTATCACATGTGTAATAACATGCGTAATTAGGGCCTAAATTATCTTAATGTACCGATTGTGACGTCATGACTTTGTGTTACATGACGTTGAAGTTTTAATATCGTTTGCGATAAGGGAAGTTAAATACAATTGAATTGAATAGCTGGCAAGACATGTTGTTTGCTTACGTGATATCATTATCGAAGGCACAAATGGCGACATTTCGACAGGATTTGTTACCTAATCTTCATATTGTAGCCTGAACCGGCAAAATATTACACTTGGCGGTAACTATTTACATAATGTGACGTGATGCCGCAAGACTCGTGGAGCTCGTGCGACACTTTATCGCGAAACTGGACTGTAGCGCCCTCTTATAACACATCTACTTCTTCAACGTAAGTAACAAGGGGTTGGAAGGAACCCTAAAGGATACATTGTGAGATTTTCATCCTTTGTTCTCCTCAATATCATCTTATCGTATGTATGTCGATGTCTTCTCAAATTATGTCCACCTCTTTTCAAAATTTTCTCAATGTTTGCAACATGTAAGTTATCAGTAGATGACAGAAATATGTCACCATAGAAACTCTAATGGACTTTGTTGCTGTTGCGGATAAAGCACTGGATACATTTCAGCCTCATGACGATACAAGGAAATTCCGACAGAATGTATGTGATAATTACATGTACCACAAGTGTGTACATTCTTGTGA